TTTCAAGGGTGAAACTCCAGCTAGTTCCAAAAGATCCATAATTGCAATCTCATGTCATCACAGGGAACACAGTGAGTATTTGAAAGCTGGGGCAGATCCACCAGTGTTGTTCCCAGGAGACAGGCTCACGAAACTTCTCTCAGAACATCTCTAGCACCTACAGAGTTGCCCAGGGAAGAGTTTGAGGTGTTAATCCCTGAGCCCTCCTTTGAAGATATCCTTGATGCCCAGGTCTCTGCTCTACATTCTGAGGAATAAGACATAGGAATATAGTCTGTGTCCCCACACAGTATTTGGTTGGGTTGCAAACGATTTGCCATCAAAAAGTGTTGTGACCAAAGCCAGGCGGTGGTGGCACACACCTTTAATCCCAGCACTCGGGAGGCAGAGGCAGGCAGATCTCTGTGAGTTCGAGGCTAGGCTGGACTGATAGCCTCCAAAACAATACAGAGAAACCCTGCCTCGTAAAAACCAAAAAAAAAAAAAAAGTGTTGTGACCAAAGAAGGCAGGTTAGTCAACTCCTCTGAGCCTCCTCTTTTCTCGTTAGAGCATGATGATAAATGGAGCCTATTTATAGTTATTGAGGGTTTAGGTAGGGTCAAGTATTTAGATTGACTGGCATGCCTTGGAGCTGTCTGCTAAACTCAAATGAGGAGTTCTGTTAGCATAAATTCTTGCTGTGTAGGATTTGAGACATTTTAGACAGTTGAACTTTTTGGTAGCCCTGAGACTGTCTATTCAAACCCAGTTAGCTAATTCACAGGACAGGCTAGCATACTAAACTCTCCCTGCTCTGTAAGACTGTCACTGACTTCTGAGCCAGCATTCTGATGAGTCACAGCAGTGTGTTTAATGAAAATGGATTGCCACCTCATTAAGGAGCTCCTTCTCAACTCAGGAGTCCTCCTCTCTTCCCTGTGTCTGCTTTCCAGGAAGCCAGTGAGAAACACCTCACTGTTCTGCCTGAGCCCAGACCCTCTGTGCTGCTTCTCACGGGTTTGTTGTCTCTGGTCTAGCTGCCAGATTGTGATCTCTTACAATGATGGCTGTCAGTTCAAATGGGTAGTGTTGAGTGTGCTCTTCTGGTTTGTCATGGGTTTAAAACACAAAAACTGGCTCTGTTAAAGGTGTGAGGGGTGGACAGGCCGGCTGAGAATGAAGACCAGAGAGAGGCCAATCTCTCAGCCATCTCTTTTGACTTCTCGGGACTCCCACCTCTTGAAATTCTTATCAGTGAGATCATTGTGAACAGACACATGAAGGCACTCCTAAATGCTCAGAAAAATGACTGATGGCCCATGAGAGCAGAGTCAGATGGGACTAAATCTCTGAGGGAAAAGGTGAAGTGAGGGAGTACAGCGTAGGCTACACGGGTATTTGGGAGGGAAAAGAGAGGGGGATAAGAAAGGAGAGAAGAGGAGAGAGATAAGCAAAGGGAAGACGCCTGGGTGGTAACATTGGAGTCATGTAGAGGTATGAAAAGAGAAGTCTGGTGATCCCACAGGTTTGGCTCCCCAGCTTCCCCCAGGATGATGGGAACAAGGTGATTCTGTTGTTTTGTTTCAACTAAAAAAAGATTTATTTTTAAATTGTGTGTGGGAGGTGTGCATGTGAGCATCGGTGCCCTCGGAAGCCAGGGGTGTGGGACCCTCTGGAGCTGGAGTTCCGGGCAGTTGTGATCCACCTAATGTGGTTGCTGGGAACAGAACTCTCATCTTCTGCAAAAGCAGTATATACACTTAATCACCGAGCAAGGCATTTCTAAAAGACTCATTCATTCATACACCCACAACCTACCCCATCCATCAACTCACTCACCCACCCGCCCGCCCACCCATGCATCTATCTATCAACTCACCCACACATCCACCCATCCCATCAGTTCATCCACCCACCTACCCATCCATTTATACCCTAGCCATGCCCCCACCCTACCACCTATCTAAAGGTCGACTGAGCATTCATGTACTCCATTCATGTCTAAGTACAGACCTAGGCAAGAAGAATATGAGAAAACCCTCATAACAAAGGAATGCCCCTTGTAACTCAAGTTAAAAAAATCAGGACATGCATGAGTTTTGTTTGTAGGCTGCACAAAGGTTCAGGAAGTCTGGTTGCATCCGACTCCAAAGTCTTCCTTAATCCCATCCATTCATCTTGATCACAGTTGCCCCATCCTCAAGGTTCCTATCTGCTTCCTTTCTTGTCTTTTCTCAATGAAGCAGATAGCATGGTTCATTGCATCATATATGCTTGTTTCCAAATTTGAAGTGCTCCGTGGATTCTAGCTGTGCCAGTAAAATCTGGTCTACCTCTGTGGACTCAAAAACCCTACACGGTGGAGCTCTTCGAATTCACCCAGCACCCCTCTAATGGTCTGTCCCTATGCAGCGGTTGTGTTGATCATACTCTTGATAGTGAGCACATATTCCTGTTCTACTACCTACCTTATGGACTTTACACTCCCAGATGCCTTTGCCTAACTAAATGTTTTCCCTTTGATCCTTGCATGGGCAGGTCTTGCTAGTCACTAAGACCCACGTTTGAACTTGGTCTTCAAGAAAGCTATCTCCCATTGACCTTCTTTTCTTTTTAAATTTTTTTCCATACAGCTTTTGTTGCTAGCCCAAATGATCTGCAGGTGATATTAGTCTATTTTCCATTTGTTTATTTTCTCCCGCTAGCCCCATGAGAACAGGAACCTCCCTGCTCTGTCTCAGAATGCTTGCTGAGTCACTAGGTTCTTCCTTGAATTGAGTAAGGATCAGTGAATACATAAACTGAAGACACAAGAAGGGAGAGTGATGGTTACGATATGGGGTGGAAGATGCTAGAAAACAGGTGTTGCTATGAGAGTCTGTGATGGCTGTTCTTGGATGCCAACTTGACTATGTCTGGAATTAATAAAGCACAAATGGCTGGACATACCTGTAAAGGATATTTTTCTTAATTCAATCATTTGAAGTGGGTAGACCCACTTCTAATCTTGATCTTTGGGGGGAGGAGACATACCTTTAATACAGATCTTTTGAGATTGGCAGATCCACCTATTGGCAGATCCACCTTTAATCTGGACTACACATTCTGCTGGCCGCCTGGAAGAAGGAAGCTTACTCTTTCTTTGCCTGTTTGTCTTTGCCCTCACTGGCAAGTCCATCCCTTCTCCGACCCTAGAGCCTACTTCTTCAGGATTTCTGCATATACTGGAGACCAGCTGAGACAGCCAGCCTCCGCCTACTAGATTCTTGGGATCTCAAAATTAGGTCCCCAAGAGTAATAAAAGGGTCCCCGTCTTACAGCTAGCTTGCATTAATTATGTAGAGTGCTGGGCTCCCCTGACATTTCCATGTATGCAAGTAATGTCTTCTAATACATACTCATCCCTCTTTTGGTTTTTAAGGACAACATGGAGGTGTGAGAGAGCCTTGGGTTCAGGTGTTAGAAACTGAGCCAGGTGCCTCTGCTTGTCCTCTTTCCAGGGTGCTGTTGCTTTCCATGCAAAGGTCCCCTCCCCCCACCTCTCTCTCTTTGGATTTTCGAGACAGGGTTTCTCTGTGTTGTTTTAGAATCTGTGCTGGAACTCTCTCTGTAGACCAGACTAGCCTCGAACTCACAGAGATCAGCCTGCCTCTGCCTTCTGAGTGCTGGAATTATAGGCGTGGGCCACCAATGCCCGGCAACAAAGGTCCCTCTCTTAATTGCTACCCCTGACTGGCATCTGACCTGACTCTAAGGTCAATAACCAATCATATTCTTCCTTGAGAATTTGAACCATTCCAGAGACACTCTGCAGTCTGTATGGGACATTTGTGCTGAGCCCAATGTGGACAGACTGGTGGTGTGAAGGGGCGTTTGGGGGTGCTGCTGTAGTCTCCCTGCTGACAGTCTTGGAACCTGGGAGACCTAGACATGCCCTGTTCCAGATTTTCCATGTCTGGGAAATTTCAGCATTCCACCTTGACTGACCCGGACAGATTGAAGGTTGTGATTCAAATAGATAGTTGGGTGTAAATTTTTAGCGATTATTAGTAAAGTTCGGCTGGTGGAAACTAAAATGGTCTTTTGATAGACACCTTCAGCTCTCACTTGACTGGGAGAGGTGAGGAGAAAGGGAGAGGAGAGAGAGAGAGAGAGAGAGAGAGAGAGAGAGAGAGAGAGAGAGAGAGAGAGATGAGAGAGAGAGATAGAATGAATGAGTGAATGAATGAATGAATGAACATGCTCACTCCACTCCTGTATCTGGACATGTCTGATCTCTCCCTTAACTACATGTCTTGGGGTCTGACTTAAGTGAGAAGACGAGAGAATTTTTGTTTCTGTCAGTTCGAGTTCCAGCCTCACACTTGGGCAGTTAGGTACCACACCACTCTGTGAAAGGGAGACAGCTGGGCAACGCCGCTCCAGTTTCAAGATGGTACTGGAGAAAACACAAGAGAATCATCCCCAGATGGGTGACCCGGGAAGGACATAGCCTCTTCTAGTTCCCGAAGGCCTGGCTGTTAAATGGCCCGTGCAACCCTTTTCTGCGTGTCCAAGAAAAGCAGAGATTTGAGTTTGGCGTTGGGAAGCATGCTCCAGACCTCGGATTTGCTCAGGACGGTGCTAATCACGGTGGGGACTGCTGAGCTCCGCCTGGACAGCTCCCTGGCCGCTCCCTGGCAGCCGGGGATCCGGGGTGGGGGGGTTCGAATTTGGAGGGAGCTGACTGAGAGGTCGTTCCCTCCTCAGGTTGTCCAGTTGCTCTCTAGAATTGTCAAGTGCTTTTGGTTACACACAGGTGCTAGCAGAGGACCCCACCCAACCACCGGAGTAACAGCCACTCCGGGAGGGGCCTTGTCTATCTTTCTAGTCCCGGGGCGGGGGAGACACTCCGGACCCTGAAAGGGGCGGGGGAGAATAAGAATGGCGAGGCTGCCCATTGGTTGGGAGGCACCATGTGAACTACACTGGTTGGCTGGGGGAAGGAGGGGGGAGGAGGCGGTTTCCCGGGCAACGGGAGGGCAAGGAGCGGCTATAGTGGCAAAGCCCGGGCTGAGGGGCTGAGGAACGCCGGTCAGAGTACAGAGACTGGCTGGAGGCTGTGTCTCCAGAAGCCGGCGTGGGCGCAGGTAGGATCTTGCGCTGCCTTCTTGGGGTCAAGCCTGGCCGGGCTGTCCACTAGGACCGGCCCGGGGAAAGTTTGCCACCCAACTGGATTGACAAAAAGAAGCGGGTCTTAAAGATGCTCTGGGTGGGATTGGAGGTCCAGGCAGGGTGGGGTTTCGAAGGGGACGGGGCTAGGCTGGGGGACCACACCCTTACCCCAGGACCTTGAAGTAGGGCTGGGGGGCCTGCGAAGCCCCCGGTTGAATCACAGAAACCTTACAGGCAGACGCTCGGCCACCCGCGTAAGCGGGCGGGCCAGTCCAGCCACCCTTGTTCAGAGATGAGCTGAGAAACTTCCCCAGCAGAGGCTGGGCTAGCTGCTCCGGGTCCTGAGACCCGGGGCTTTGAGCCCCGTTGTGCACTTTCTCAGGCCTGGCGCACGAAATCGCGCACACTCCCCATTCGGAGTGGGCGTGTGTCCCTCTCGGGGTACGCGTGCGTCCGAGGCTGCCCGTCTCCTTGCGCGTGTTCCTGTGTTTCTGAGTGCTCTGTTTTGCATTTCTCTGGCTCCACTCTGGGATTGTGCCTCTGGGTTGTGCAGGCGTCTGGGTCCCTGTGAATTCGTAGTGGACGTCTGCGGACTCTCTCTGGGGTGCTGGGGGCTGAGGACTACTGTTCCTGGCTTTTCTCTCTCTCTCTCTTTCTCTTTCTCTCTCTCTCTCTCTCTCTCTCTCTCTCTCTCTCTCTCTCTCTCTCTCTCTCTCTCTCTCTCTCTCTCTCTCTCTCTCTCTCTCTCCCTCCGTCTCTTTCTCTCCTCTCTCTCTCTCCTCTCTCTCTCTCCTCTCTCTCTCTCTCCTCTCTCTCTCTCCTCCCCCCCCCTCTCTCTCTCTGTGTATGTGTGTGTGTTTGTCTTTTCTGTGCTGGCTTCTCGTTATGGTTACGTGTGGTTATATGCCGGTGCTTCTGTTTCTGGCCACATTTGTCTCCGAATAGATGTCTGGAACTCATCTGCGTGTGTCTCTGTGAGTGTGTGTATGTGTGTCCCCGTGTGTATGATCAAAGCAGCTGTAGGTACGCGTGTGTGCGTGTGTGTCTACGTATACCTGTATATATGTCTTGTCTCTCCAGCCTGCCTTCTCACTGGGTCTTCCCGTGTCAGCGAGAGGAGGGGGGTAGGTGGATGGGAGCCTGAGCTGGGGTACCATGCCAGGCCCAGTTCCGTTGGCTCTCTCTCTCACACACACTCCACTCCTGGCAGCTGTGGGCTCCAGGTGGAGCCGAGGAAGAGGCACCCCAGCACGGGACCCTGGCCCTCCCTGCTGAGGTGTGCATCTGCCCAGCCAGCTCTTTTTTTGCCAGCAAACGGACTTCGGCGGTGGCGGCAGAGGCAGCCTGCACCGCCCAGCTGGGGCCCTAGTGACTTATTTTTGTGTGTGATCCTTTCTTTTCTTGAGGAAGAGGCGGGAGCGAGCTAGGCTCGTTGGTGTGCTCAGATAAAGGCGCTGGGCTTGTCGGCTGGGTCAGTCCTCCTGGCTGAAGTGCCTGGCTCACATACTCCTTCGGGAAATATCCTGCCCTGCACCCCAAGTCCCAAGCTCACCATACCTCCATGGAACTCTTTCACACACCCTGTATAACTTGTCTGTGGCTCTGTTGATGAAAGGTTAGGTCTGCAAGAAGCACCTCTGGCTCTCCTGTTGGCGCAACCAAAAAGATGCTCAATTAGGGATGCACAAAACAACACAGTCAGGCTTCCCTTTCTCATCCTTCAATCCGGGCGGGAAACCAGGAGTGGGAGCTGCAGCAGGGAGAAGGGAGAAGACCAACGGACAGCACCCAGTTTTGAAAAGCTAGGAAAATTAAGAAAAATGTGGGAAATACACTCAACTTTCTAACATCTCAGCAGGCGTGGGTCCAGCTCCGAAGCCCTAACCTGCCACTGTTTAGCGTTGGAATCCCATGGGCCATTCAGAGGGACTGGGACTTTGTACACAAAAGGACCTCTGAGAGGATCTCTGCCTTGAAGACTAGATTCTGTCCTGGTACCCTGTGGGCTGAACCTGCAAACTGGTCCTCTATACCCCTGTTGTGACTGTCCAGAAGGAAGGAGTAGGGGCAGGTGTGGAATGGGGGGTTGAAGCCCTGTGGAATCTGTGTTTGGTCTGGGACCCCTGGCAGTGTGGTTAAATATTTGTAACATGGCTAGGCTTGTTTTCCGAACTTCTAGATACGGAGCTTGCCCGTAAGGCTCCCCAGCTCACCTAATGGTATCACCTGCTCTAAGCCTCCACTCCCTGACCCAGGCTAACTGGCTGACACCTGGCTAACTTATGGCATGGAGGAGAAGCTGGTACTGAAGAGCTGCATTTGGGGAATCAATCCAACAGGCATGTTTACTTTCTAGTGAGCTAATTAATGTCCTCTTAGTCTTGCCTCCTCCCCACCTCCAACTCCAAGCACACGTAAACTTCCGTAGACTTCTCTGGCAGTAAGAAAGCAGGGCATTTGCTCTTATGAAGTTTCCGCCCCTTGCCCATCAGGACACACATCAGAGACGGTACTGGCAGCGACATCCCAGCTTCCCGGCGACTCCTGCACAGTGACGACGGTGGTGGCCCCAGAACTGGTACAGACTGCCTTCTAGAGAAAACAAAAGGCTGGCAGGAGGTGTGGCACATCTTCCCACTCCCTGCTGGCCGGGAAGATACTTCTGTGGCGATGGCGTCTGTCCTCCTGTGCTTTCAGAGTGTGTGCGTCTGTTGGTGTGATGGGACGTGACAGGGTCTCACCCGAGACAGAGGGCTGGCTCAAGTCTGGTGGAGGGGCCGGAGCTGTTCTCAGACACAGCAGAGCCCAGGGCTGGAGGAGTCAGGAGGAGAGCCTTCTGGGCACTGTTCTGGTTTTCCTTTCATTGTTACTCATGAGCACAGCCAAAAATCATCGAAAGTGTAGACCCTGAACTAGCTAATTGCCAGTGATCTTTCCAGAGCAGTTTGGACATAGGTGAGAATTCTGAAGCCAGACCTGGTTCAGATTCCAGACACGTCACTTCTTAACTGTCTTTCGTTTCAGTTGCTTGACTGTTCTTGTCCAGTCTTCAACAGGAGGCAAGATGACTGTCACATGGCAAAGGGATTTGTTGAATAAATGGGTATGTGTATCAGTAGACACCACACTGGAGACACAGTAGGCATTCAATGGCCTTAGCAGGTCACACGGTAAATGAATTACACAGTCTAGTTATTAGCATTACCTGCACTTTCCAGATGAGAGAAGATGCTTGTCACACGTCGAGGTAGTTGCAAGAGTTGAGATGCAAACTTAACTACATCAACCTGAGTCCTCTATTGAAGTCTCAGCTGAGCATCTGGAAAGGGCTCTACTTGGAGGTGGTTTGGTAGTTTTCTTGCCTTGTGCTCTGGAACTAACTAGAGATCTCTTGGAGGGGTAATGTCCAGGTGGGTGGCTAAGGGTGCTTAGCTATTTCCTGGGCCCGTAGAGAACTTCTGAAATCTTGCCCCCGGGTGGCCCTTTTCTGGACTTCCAGCTCCTTGTTGGTTCATAATCCAAATCAGAAGGGGCAATGTGACTCACTGAACTCTGTTCTGGCCAAGCGTGTGGCACAGGACAAGGCATACTTCTCAGGGGGTACCCCTGGGAAGCCACATTTCTTTCTATAGCATCTCTTCCAAGTGCCACCCCATTGAGTCTGGTCTTTCTCTTCTGTTGCCAACTCTCATGTCTGCCTTTCAACCTGTGTTGGCAGTGAGCTGCCTGGAAGCCTGACAGAGGGTAGTGACAGAGGGTGACTTCAGTCTCATTTCAAAGTGGCTGCTGGTCAGGACAGCTGCAAGAAAGGATCTGGAGGCTTCTGTCTTATGCTAACTCTGGCTGGATCTTGCCACAGCTCCCCTGGAGGCTGGCACTGACTCAATTGCTGGGGGTTGGGGGCTGGTATTTGGTTAGAAATGTTGGCATGAAGCTAGGGCTTTTTAGTAAGCCCCCACCACCTCCTCGGCCTCTGTCTCCTGAGGTGCTGGTATTGAGAAGGGAGACATTTGATGTTGCTGACTTATAGTGCACTCAGGCCTGTCCCCACCTCTCAAACCACCCAGGGAAGTTGCACCCAGTGATAATGTTGCTCTGGGGTGCTCTCTTCTCTCCCCTCCTCCCTAGTTCTCAGAGCGTCTATGGCATCAGGTAGGAAGTGACCGAGGTCTCCTCAGGCCACTTCAGGTTCCAGCAGGGGACGCAGCTCTCAGGCACAGTTGCCTTCCAGCTGTTTGTCAGGTCAGTGCTACACTTTCCCCTTCCCTGTGGCCACCAGGGATGTCTCACCTGCTACACATCACCTCCTATAACTGTAACGGGGGGGATGCTGGTGCGTCCCGCCGCCCTGAGCGTTTTCCCCTTTCTCACTATCCTATGATGCTTTATCGCTGCCTTGACAGCCCCACGTGGGTTCGAAAGATGACTCCTTTCCAGCACTGCCCTGCTGTTTCAAGAGCAGGACATGTGGGGAGTCCATGAGCCACCCCCCAGGGTGCTTACCCACAAATGTGACCAGTTTGGGGTTCAGAGAAAGACTGCTGGCTACTGTTGGGCCCAGGCCGTGCTGTGTGGCTCCAGATGGCAGCAAGACAGCTTGAGCATCACACTTCACCAAAGACAAAGCTGACCGTTGAACATTTTCTCTTCAGGTCTGGGTCTCTCTGCGTGAAGGAAGATGACAGTCGGGAGGGGAGCCACCACGGAGACAAGCAGTCACGAGAGCTATGAGGAGCGGCTGGCAGAGAGGTGTTTGTGGTGATTTATAGGAGCCGAGGGCTGCAGAGAGGGATGTGGATGTTATCAGCTCGGTGGATTAAATGCCCATTTACATTGTTATTGACATATAAATTATCTGTGCCAAGCAGACATTGAGGCAGAGAAATCCCGGGGCAGGAATGCGGCACACGCCCCAGGATATGGACTCTTCTTTGCCCAAATCTGTCCTTTGGGCTCTCGTAAAGTGAATTGCAGACCTGGAGTGAAACCCTGGTCCTCATCCTCAAGATGTCAGTGGCAGCCTCCTTCACCTCCAAGGCACCGTTGGCCAGCCAGGTTCCCAAGTGGCTTTCAAGAAGATGGCAAGACCTTTGAAGAGATAGCACAATCTCCCCTCTGGTGGGACCTTGTCTGGTGTGCACTCGTAGGTGTTGTGTGGGTCACTTGGATCTGCTGTGGATTTAGAATATCGCTGAAGGAGATTTTATGCCTGGGAAATGGAACCGATTTCTGAGTCAAGCCAACAGCAGAAGAGAAAGGCAGTCACTCATGGACTGGAAGACCAAAAGAGGGTAAGTAAGTGGTGGAACTTTTTGCTGTTTGCTGCCTGGAGGTGGAGTCGCTAGCTGTGGCTTAGAGCTGGGTGCTCAGAGGAATTGTGTTAAGGTGAGAGCGGGTGCTCCTGGCTTTGGTGTCCTAGTGCTACGCCTTTTGCTTTGGCTTGTTGGTGGTCATGCTTAAGATAAACAAAAGGAATGGATAATTTAATGCCAGGAACTAGGAAGGTGAAGGCTTATGCACACTTTACAGAAGTGTGCAAAAGAGTTCTGCTGTTCTCAAAGTCGAGCTGGGCTCCTTTGTGGTGCAGTTACTCAGGGGGTGTGCACAGCCTTTCTGGGCATGGTGCTCCTGATTGAGCTGGTTTTGTCTAAGGAATTTTCTGTGCTGTCTTTTGGCTCTTGTGTATATGGATCACAAAGTGCACCCTGTTGACTCTCTGGTCCCATTTGTGAGAATGTCACCGTCATTTAAAGTGGCCCATCAAGTGCAGGTCACTGGCTGTGACTGGTCTGAAAGCCACAGTCACCCAGGGCTTGTGTCTGCTAGTTAATTTGCAACTCTTCTGCAAAAGCCACACACACTGGGAAGACATACTGGCATGCTGTAGCTGACTGTTCAGGAAGGAAGCTGAGGCTGGGTATCAACTGTTGTCAAGGGCTACTCTTGTCGATGTAGAACAGGGGTCTGTGCTTGTCTGCAAATGGTCCCTGTGTTTCCATTGCAATGTTAGGATGGTACCCAAACTTGTGGTGTTCTATCTAGGTGATGAAGTATCATGTTCCCTCCACTTGTGAGTTTCAAAGAGAGACTCTCCCAGTGTGTGATACCCATGGCTTTTTAACTCATCCTATTATATCTTAGCTGTGGTGTGTGTGATGCTGTGTATGTGTAAGGCTTTTGTATTGGGATTTACTCTGTCTTTCAGAGGATAAAAATAAATTGAAATACATTTTTAAAAACACAGACACCGACTCCATACCTTAAAAAAAAAAAAGAATCGCTCTTGAGACTGGCTCCCTGTGATTTGGGTAGAATGCCCCCATCTCAGACACCTAGATAAGTGGATGTGTTTGGCGGTGTTTCATTTGCCAAGTATAGAGCCTGCTAGACCTTCTGCTCCATTTTTGGTAGGAGCTTTCCCAGAGCTCGGAGGAACATTTTTTTGCAGCAAGCTGCTCGAGGAATGCCTGCACTTCACTTAGTGTCAGCGAAGTTTGGGATCCAGACACTTAGCAGAGGAACATTCGAGATCTCTGACACCATAGAAAAATTTAATTGGGCTGGTCCACTAAGATAATTTGCAATTATGATGGCTCCTCCTTGGCTAGGTGTAGCTGTTTGCATTTCCCATCTGTTCTTGGCTTAGCTTAGGTTGGGTCCACATGTACCACCGAGCCTCTGGAAGGAGAAAACAACCCCAAGTGAGCTTGGCAGCAGCTGGGGTAACATCAATTGGTCATGCTCAGCTGACATTCATTTTAACTTGAACTCTAGCCGTCATGGTGATTATTAAATTTATAATGATATATGTAAGATCCATTTTAATGGCTCTCCATGCTCGGGTGAGCCCTCGCTAGTGCTGGGAAAATAAAGCTTAATAGAGTATTACATTTCATTTTCTACTGAATTTTCTGGGCAGAGGTTGAAACTTGGCGTAGGAGGAATTAGATTGTTTTCTCTGATAGTCATTGTGATGGAGTTCCACACTGCTGAGGACTCAGCCTGGGCTTCCAGGCTACTGCACCTCAGCAGCGGCTTCTGTTGGCGGGCCGGCAGCTTCTGTTGTGCACTTGTGTGTGTTTGTGGGTAAACACACGCCCCATTTGCGTCAAGTGTGAAGCTAAACAAGCCTCACAGCATGGAACCTGGAATGTCTTGTCCACAGAGCTGAAAGGGGACTCTGCAGTGTTTTGGCTCCTACCTCAAATGGGCTGAGAGCTCCTCTTCCGGGGGACTGGCTGAAAATCCCACAAAGGCAAGGCATCTGCTGGGGAGCTGGGGAGCCTCCACCAGCAGGCGTGAGTTACCCACAGGCCTTTGTGGGGTGAGTGACAAGCACTGCTGAGGGCTAGCAAGCTTAACTTTTACTGTATTTCCCACTATCATGAGCAATAAGAGATTTAACTCTTGTACTTGGTGGTAGCTTCATTCAGCTTGCCATTCCCTTGTGAATGGAGCGGCCTGTTCAGGGTCCATCTAGGATGTGGTCTTTGGAGACCACATCTGTGGGTGAAGAATGCTATGGAATACAGAAGGAGAAGGCTGGATTCACATGCTAATGATGCTGTGCCCTTGCTGTGTGACCCTCTCTGGTCTAGCAGAAGACGGTGCTACCTATCAGAAGACAAGGATAGCACTGAGATTAAATGAAGTAAACTAGCAGGGAGTTTGCACTTGGGAGACATTTAAAAATGCTGTATGTCTTTGGGACAGGTTGAAATGTTGTATTATTCTCTTTTTGTTTTAAAGAACTGCATGAGGTTAGATTTTAAATACTCAAGCTATACTTATATATTCAAATTCAAATATTGCAGAAGTATGTAAAGAGTTCTCTTTCCAAGTTCTAGCCAGCAGTGATGACTGTCAACAGTTTGATCTGTTCAGGTGTCCTACTTGCAACTGGTGGATCATGTGTGTCCTAAGCTAGCTATGATGCAGCCCAGCACATCTGTAGACCTTGATGTCACATCACAATGTCACAACGTTGGACACTCCTGCATCACTCCTTGGATTTAAAAACAATTCTTTTTAAACTGTTGGTGGTGGTTCCTTAATAAGATTAAATCATATTGCATATGATTTCTTTTTACTTAGCATAGTGAGTGTATTTGGCTCACTGTACACATAACTGCCCTGCCTTTTACTGATGACTAGGGCACGCCAGCATTTCATGGTTATTTCAACACAGATCTGCCTGTGGGATGTTTCTAGCTCTGGGATTTTGTTTGTCTTACAAGGTTCCATCACTCATGTATTCCTCAAAGATCAAAGATGGGTCTCCACATAGTAGACATGATTCTGGGCTTAGGAAAAGCCAGATAGCCATGGCCTCCTCCTCTCTGTAGATGACATGTGGGGCCTCTCTGGTGTCACCTCCTGCCATGATAGGAGAGTCCTCCTATCCACTGTATGTGCCAGTGACCAGTAGCCACAACTGACCATGGAACACTAGAAATGTGACCTGTGGGCCTGAAGAACTGGGTTTTCTGTTTTATTTGTTTCAGTCAATAGCCACGTGGCATTAGTGGCTACCATGTTGCCAAGTGGCTTTCTGAGCATGAAACAACAGGCAAATAATGTGCATTTGTAAACCATGGTCTGTGCTTGCTGTCTGTCTGTCTGTCTGTGGGGGTGACAAGCAGGCTAAGGGGTGACATGAAGAAACAGCTTTGACTGTCCTGGAACTCGCTCGGTAGATCCGGTTGGCCACAAACTCACAAAGATCCACCTGTCTCTGCCTCCCCAGTGCTGGGATTAAAGGCGCTTGCCGTCATCACCACCTGGTGTAGATTTCATTTTTGAGATCAATTTTAAGCTTTCCTTTTCGCTGAAGGTATGTTAGATCTAGTAAAATGCAGACTTCTAAAGTTTCAGATTGGTGGATTTTTGTGCATCTCATATATCTGTGTAGACACCCCATAAATAAGATATGTACTATCTCTTTTAAAAAAATCAATTAAATTTTAAACGTGTGTTTTGTCTGCATGTGTTTATGTGTACCATGTGCATGCCTGGTTCCCATGAGTTCAGAAGAGGACGTTGGATCCCTTGGAACTGGAGTAATTGCTGGCTGTGAGCTAGCATGTGGATCTGGAAGCTGAACCCAGGTCCTCTGTAAGAGCAACACATGCTCTTAACCACTGAACCATCTTTTCAGTCAAAGATCTATAACATCTCTTGCTCTGAGAGCATGGGCAATCTGAGTTGGGGTTAAGGGGATGCCACCCAAAGGCAGGTTCTTTGGGGTGGAGACCTAATGATGAGCAGCAGCTGGCCACAAGAATATCTAGAGGTAGCTGAAGTCATGGAGTTTCAGGTCTAGAACCTGTATAGGGGCAGGTGTCTTTCATTTCAGAGCTCACAAAGCCCATCCCTTCTGCTCTGGTGACATCCCTTGGTGCCACCTATGAATAGCAGATCCTTCTGCCTCTCTGTCAAATTCAAATCTTGTGCTGAGTCAGGAATGAGGCAAAGGGGCTGCAGGGCTGCAAATCATCGTAGACAGAAATCCAGTCTGTGAGTGTGTCTGTGTGCTGAGAGCATCTACCCCGCACAGATGGGAGAAGTCAGACTTCCCGACAGACAGCTATTGATCTGTCATGGGAAGGACTTTTGGATTGATTTTTTCCCCTCCTACTTCTGCACAGAACCATGTCCTCCACAGCAAGCTTTCCATGGAGGGTGAGTGCAGGAAAATAATCATCGGTTTGGATGTTTCAAAGATGCTTGGTGACTGAAGAGTTATCAAGGATATTTTAGCCTGACTATCCCCCAGGCTGTCCCCTTCTCAGCATGAAAGCTTCCTAGAGCCAGTTTTTTAAAATGGCTTTGGAGAGGGCAGACTCAGACTTCATGTAATTAAGATGTGTAGACGTGGCTGAACTGCTCTAGATTGTAACACACAGTGTCCCACTAAGAGGCACACGTCACTCAGCTCGCCTTACCAGCCTTTCCTTGTCATTTGTCTGCTTACATCCCTGACTGCCCTGGCACCTGTGGCCTCAGCTTAGAATCACTCGCCCCCAAGAAGACCAATTGTTTTTACAGTCACCCCCTGTAAGCCCAGGTGGCCTGGCATCTGTGTCTCCTCTGACCTCCTGCCCCTTCCATTCCTAGCTTCATATCAAAGATGTCTTGCTTGGCGGGTGGCATATCATTCTGGCTAGTTCCCCCTTACCTCGCTGTCCACTCCTGGGCAAGGTGGCTCTATACAGTCTAGCTGCTGCCATCCTGACCAGCGATTTCCCATTTGTTCCTTTACAGAGGCCACCCTCTTCAGCCCCGGCCACTTAATTTTTTAGAGCCCCGTGAGTGACGGATGCTGAAGTCCTGCTGGAATCTCTTTTGCTTCAGCCTGAACCTGGAAGTACCTAAGGACACTCCGTGTCTGTGTCCCTTGTGTTATTTATGCATAGTTTACAAGATGTCAGCAAATCACCAGGCACCGAGTGTTTAGTGTGTGGCTGTCGCCAAGACTAGGCGTTCCCTGTACCCCACATCTCTCATTGTTAAGCCCTGATGATTTTTCCTTCACAGTTGACCCCCCATTTCTGGGTATTTACTTATATGTCATAGTTCTCACAAAGGACTTCACTCCCAGGCCTTTTAGATTTAATACGTTTCCACTAGTGGATAGAAGAGGGAGAAATACGACTCAAGCCGACATTCAGGGGTTCTGTGGAGGACTTGAGATATCTGATAGAGACGAGACAGGGTCTAGAGAGAGTGGACTCCAAGCAGTTGTATCGAAGTGACAAGTGGAGTCGGTGAGGACCTGGGCACAGGGTGGGCAGGATGAATGTTAGGCACAAGCTAGCGTCATTGCTTCTGTGGCTTCAGAGAGCAGTGACTCAGGAAAGGAGCAGCTGAGCTGTGGGCGGGGCTTCTTGAAACAGTGGTGCCTTCTCTCTCCTCTCTCGGTGCATTTGCTGTGCGCCCATGAAAGCAGTGCTTACTCCTTCTAGTCACGGGGAAAATGAAACCCACAAATGTGCTAATCTTCCTGGGAATAGATGGCCACTTTCAGTGAACTGTGTCGAAAGTATTAAAAACCTATGTCAATAGTCTAAGAAGAAGGAAAGTGACTAACATGTATCAGGTACCTGCCCTATGTCTGGAAGAGCTACCAGGAGTTTCTTTTACTTTAGTTCTTCCTCAGACCATTTGTGTAGGTTTTTTTTTAAATTTGTTTGTTTGTTTAGTTGTTTTTCCAGCGCTAAGGATCGAACGCCAAGCCTTGTGTATAACAGACACTCCAGCACTGAGCCTTTTGCCCAGTATCCTTCATACAAGTTTTCATAACCCTTTTCATAGAAGCAAAAACCTGATTAAAGTTTAAACAGGTTGCAGTGTCTGCTAGGCTACAGGACCTCACTGAAATCTTACCCTTCCATTAAGTTTCCATGTCTGAACTTTTAAAACGATCTTTTCAATCTTTTCAACATTTTTGCTGTTGTGCATAAACACACGCATATATGATATATGAGAGCGGTGTGTGTGTGTGTGTGTGGTGTGTATGTGTGCATGCATGCCCAGGCATGCATGTGTATATACACACTCTATGTACTGGACTGGCCACCATGACACCATACAACTATCACTCACTTAGGACCATGTCCATGGCAGTCTGTAAATCAGGCTTACTTGAAACAGCCTTCCCAAGGTGAGCTGCAGGGTGGTGGTAACACAGATCTTCTGTAGAGGAATCTGCCTCTGTTCAGTTCTGAGTTCTGAGATGCTATTCACATGGTTTGGGTCTGGGGATATCCTAATGTATCTGTTGAGGATGAGGCCACAGCCCACCTTCCAGCTCTATGCACAAGCTTTCCTGGATTCTTGGTTCAGCCACCGTGAGGATACCTCTTGTAGCTGGGGATGTGGCTGTTGCAGCCTTCCGGCTGGCCCACCTGTCTGGCTGGCCCACCTGTCTGGCTAGCCCACCTGTCTGGCTGGCCCACCTGTCTGGCTGGCCCACCTGTCTGGCTGGCCCACCTGTCTGGCTAGCCCACCTGTCTGGCTAGCCCACCTGTCTGGCTGGCCCACCTGTCTGGCTGGTATGAATGGAGGGGCAGATGCGGAGGCCACACAGCAGCATCTCACACGTCAATGAAAAGGGAGATGGAAAGAGACTGGAGCCATATGTGATTCGATCAGTGGACTGTGAGCTATCATTCTGGGGCAGGGCAGGGGGAGAGGACTGCAGAGGGGATAGGCTTGGTACCTGCCCTCATCCCTAGCCATCAGAATCCATCCATTCAACATTTATTTATGAGAGGATGATGGGCTTAGCTTCTCATGTCATAGAGGTAGTGTCTGTTCAAGCAGCAGTGTCAGAGATATTAGGTAGCTGTCCTTCTGGCTTGGAGAAGCCAAGGAAGTCTCCTTAGAGGATAAGTAACCCAAAATCTGTGTGGAAGGACTCAATGAGAAGCACGGTGTGTGTGTGTGTGTGTGTGTGGAGAGCCGGGATGGTGGGGGAGGGCTGAGCAGACAGCCCCCAGGAGAGTGGTTGCTCTCTGGTGGGGCTGCAGCTGGGGTCGCCACCATTATAGGTTGAATCTGTCTTTCCAGAATTCATGTGTTGGGACCCCCACCACCCCTCCATCCCCACCCAAAGTGACAGTAATTGGAGATAAGACCTTTGAGAAGGCAATTAAGGTTCAACAAGGTCCTAAGGCTGTGGACCTACTCCAGTAGGATTTGAGCCCTTATAAAGGGGAAGATTCCCCAGGGCTGGAAGGACAGAGCAAGGCCATGGGAGGGAGGATCAGAAGGCTGCTGTCTGCATGCCAAGGGGAGAGGCTGGAGACTGTGAGCTCTTTGCCATCCATGGGGGGTGGGGTGGGACTGCACCTGTGTAAGATGTCTGGTGTGGCATTCTGTTGTGGCAGATAATGGCAGCTGAAGAGAAAGAGGGCAAGTTAAAGGTGATCCGCCCACAGCTGTCTTCTCTGGAAGTGCCCCGAGGACACTCATCAGGTGTGATGTTCCCCTCCTGACAACATGGAGTCCCAGGGGCAAGGTAGGAGGTCACTAGCATCCTGCATTTAGTAACAAGTTTCCAATGTCATGGAGGACAGAGGGAAGGCCCAGATACAAGGGAAGCACCTAAGGAAGAGGATTTGCAGGATGTGGATTTGATCTATGCATGTTCCTGGTGATCAGGTCCAGAACTTACCTCTGCCTTCAGGGGGGACAATGACAGACAGCCTGGTGGCTCTTCATATGCCACCTCTGTGTATGTTTACATGTGTGTGTGCATGCACATGTGTGTGCTTGTATATGGGGGTGGTTATTTGTGCATTTAAGTATGTGTGGCGGCCAGAGGACAACCTCAGATAACATCCTCAAAAACAACCCCCACTGCCTTTGAGACAGAATCTTTCATTGACTTAGAACTCACTGATTAGGTATGAGCCGTTGGTGGCCAATGAACCCTAGAGAACCTCCTGTGTCTGCCTCCGCAGTGCTGAGACTGCAAACGTGTGCCAACCATGTCTAGTTTTTGTGTGCCTGCGGGTTCTGGGGGCTCAAATCCAAGTCCTTGTGCTCGCAAGGCAAGCACTTTAAGGCCTATTTCTCCAGGCCCTGGGTTGTGTTTTTCTAATGCCCTCGGGTATACAGTGACCTGCACCTGTCACAGGAAAGCAATTGGTGCTATCTCCATTTGGTGGTTAAGGTACAAGAGCTACAGGCAGATACACAACTTACTAAACAGCACAAGACACGCTAATAATCAGAAGTGGGTGGCCTACCCTTCCTTCCTTTCTCCACCGACAGTTACTTTCCAGAGAGTCAAACGGTCTTCCTCCATCAGCAGAAATGAGCGCATTTACCACTTTAGTTAAATTTTCCCTGGGGAAGATTTGGTGGATTTTTAGAGATCCCATTTGGAAGGCACTAGAAAAATGTGTGTAGGATTTGCTTTGCTTTGCTTTGCACTGAAAGTTGGAACACAGTGCGGGCCACTCCCCATTTATTTGCAGCTCCCACAAGTCCCATGAGGCGCCCTGGGCACATCAGCGTTGGGTCCCCTCTTGCCTTCCTGTCCTGCCCACATGGGGTTTCTTTCAGAAACCAAGTCACAGAGGCCTCAGACCAGAAGAGGGCAGGACCCGGTGGTAAGAAGCGACAAGCGGGACTTCCATAGAACAATGTGAGGTGCACTCTCACCCTGAACTCTTGGGGAAGGGTCTAGGCCCTGCCCTATATGAAATGACAGACTATGGACACCCCCATGGAGGGCCTCACCCTCCCTGGGAGAATGAGGGGATAACGGGGGGGGGGGTTGGGGGGAGGGCACGAGAGGAGGGGAGGGAAAGGGAGAGGGACCTGGAACTGACTTGTGAAGCAACCTTGTTTCTTATCTAAATTTAAACTGGAAAAAAAAAAAAAAAAGAAGCGACAAGCGGAGCTGCGTCACCTGCATCTTCAGATGGCACTTGGGGCCTCGTCAAAGCCTTTGTCTGTCACTGGTGTCTGAGAGCTCTCTTGCCCTTGGTTAGCACTGTTTCTGCTTTAAACTAGCTTTAATGGGGTTTTAAAAGACAAAGGGGCATGTGGCAAAGCCACCTCAGTTGTCTGGTATAGTTACCCATGTAGCTGTGGGACTTTTTAACGTCAGACAATGTATCTAACCCTTCTAGTATTAATCTTCAAGGTGAGACTTAGGAAGTCAGTAATGGCACCTGGAGAGGACCCCGAGACACTGCACTGGTCCCACTTAACACAGCACTAAACTATTGAATGGAAGCTGTCAGAATTCCCAGCCTTGAACTTCCCTGAACTTGGCAGAAACCCTGTCAGTGTCATATTTGGCGAATAACCAGGGTAACTTCTGGCAATAGGGTCTGCTTTTGGTTAATCACGGCCACACAAAATCCCCCCCTGGTTTAGACCCCTGCTGCTGTACATCCTCCTGAAGCAAGTCCATGGCCAAGCCCTCCTTTGTGTGAGAGACTGCTATAAGGACACCTTTGACCCCATAATTCTGCATGCCTCTTGCGTGGGGGACTGCAGGCTTCTGTGCAGGTCTGAGATGCCCCCTTGCAATTTGAATGTTTGCTGCAGTATGACTTTGTGGGTGTCACCCGCTGTGGCTGAAGCCAAGCACCAGAGGGAAGTCTCTTACCTGGGGGTGCATTTCAATTCATCAAGGTTCTCCAGAGCCACCCAGGTTCCCTTCTCCAGCAGCTTAGATCAGATTCTGGCACGCCTGGGGTTTGAATCAAAATAATGACATCTCTGACTCCCATCCTCGGGGCATTAAATTTTAATCTCCCTTCTCTTTGGGATAATTAGAAAGGGGGGGAGGTATGGGGGCTGGGAAGCAAAACTGGGAGTAGATATGGATGGCAGAGGCCAAGCGGGGCTTTTGTAAGGCAGCTTATCCCAAAGCCAGGCGGCAACTCCGAGGACTGGTGGCTGCATGCTGAAACCATTGGCAGGGACAAAGGACCGGGCCTGGAGCAGATGGCAAGGAGGTCAGACCAGGGTGGCTACTGATAGGGACCTGGGCCCAGAGCTGTGCATGGGTGCTAGAGAGGGAGATTCTAGGGTGACCATGGGACTGTTGGCTAAGCTGAGTAAGACAAGACCAGGCTGGCTCCTCAAAGCCTTGCCTGTCCCCAGGATCCGTGCTCTTTAGGGGACCGGGCAGAGGACTGTGTGAGGTAACAGTCTGCATTTTGGTTGTTGCTAGTTTGATCCTCTGACGACCCCCATCCCTTGGAATGCTGTCACAGAGCCCACAACCTGGCCATGTGAGAACACCAGAGTCCAGGCTCCTGTTGACGTCAGAGGGAGGAGGGGGAGGCTTCTTAAAGGGTGGGCTGAGATGAGATGAGAGGCTTCCTGGGAGATTCTAAGTGCATGTCAAAATATTTCTCCTTTTTCCATCTGTGGTTATAATTTACATTTTCAATAAGCAAAAGTCCTCAATGGCATCAACAATCCTCATGGGAAGCTACAAAATAGAACAAAGCATTGTAGCTTCCAGAACCCTCGGGTAGCCAGACTGCCAGGGGTTGCTCAGGTTCCCTCTTGCCTGAGTCGTTCAGTGCCATGGTAGTTTCTATGTCAGGACATGCAGTACAGTGTCTGCCTCCTGGCGGAGGATCAGTAACTGCTTGTTGAGTGAATGGGTGGCAGTAGGCACTCTGAATGGGAAGGGGCACAAAGAGGAGTTAGGACTCCACTCTGATTATGATCTAGAGTTGGTGGCGAAACAATAGCAGGTTAGAGCGGAAAGGGTGTAGAACGCCCCCTTTCACATTGCAGCACAGTGGAGCAAACTGAGAGACTTGGTTAGAGGGGACTCTCTGTTTCCTCAACGGAGGGGCCATCCCATCCAAGCACGCAGAATATCAGAAAGGCAGCCATTTGGTAGAGAAACAGTCTCCTAAAAGGAAAAGTCTGTGGAGCTGCGTTTGTGGTGCCCTTCATCCCAGAAATTCTGAGAAAATGAGAACGGTATTCAAGAGAAACATTCTGAGCCTAGGGACCGATTCAGGTGGGTATTGCACCAGACAGGCCCCGGGAAGTCAGGCAGCTTGGGATTCTGGCTTCTCACACCTCTGTGGTGTGGGGTCCACTTTGTAAGGATTCAGGCGTTATGCTGGCCTGCCCGTCACCTGGCGGAATGCACTCAGGCAGTAGACCCTGGTCAGCCCAGGTGCAAAGGGCCCCTTTAGAAGAAAGGCCCCGCCCACTTAATGCCCTCTTTCCTCTCGGGCAGACAGGACTTTTCCTGTGTCACTCTTCTCTTCTGCCCTGTCTCTGTCTCTGAGTAGGTTTGGTGGCCGACTTCCTCCTTTACCCTCACCAGGCTCTGCCTGTTGGTTCAGTCTTGACACCTAGCCTGATTGAAGCCTGCCCAACCTAGCCTTAGCAGAAATCCCTCTTCCAAAGCCGGGCATGTTAGTGCATGCCTGTAATCCTAGTGCTTGAGAAGCTGAGGCAGGAGGATTGAGGCTAGCCGAGGAGTCTCAGAAAACAAGACAATGAAAGAGAAAAGAAAAAAGGCTGTTGTCAGTTTAGCAAGACTTTCCTCTTCCCCAGTATCTGATCAAGTTGGTTTGTTTGTTTGTTTGTTTGTTTGTTTTTGCCATTCCTTGATGAAGAAGTTGTGGACCTGCCTTCAACAAGAATCCTGTTAGGTCAGTTGAACAAGAAGCTCCCACCTCTGATGTTGCCTAACTTTTCTGAGTCGCGCCCTCTCCCCCTCCCCCTTCCCCCTTCTGGTCAGTAGGTTCCTAGCTACCTTTAATGTGTTTAGACTTGAACCCTACCTCTGTTCCTGTTTCAGTTTCTCTGTTGCCATAGTCTTGAATAAACTCCTTTTTGTTGTTTCAACAAGCACCAGAAAGTTTGCACTTTTATATTTATTTTGAATGTGTGTGGGTATGTCCACGTACCACACTCAGGCCTGGCATCCTTGGAAGCCAGAAGGTGTTGCATGCTCCGCAATTTGAGTTGCAGATAGTTGTGAGCTGTCAGGTAGGTGTTGGGAACTGAACCCAGGTCCTCTGCAAGAGCAGCCAGAGCTCTTCACTGCTGAGCCATCTTGCTAGCTCAGAATATTTACATTTTTTAAACTAAGCTGAGCTAGAGAGATGTCAGCCTTTGGAGTCCCAAGTCCTGGTTAGTCAGTTTGTGCTAATGCCAGGCAGTCACATGACATCGAACTTCACCTTTGAGGGAGAATTGCTCCCAGGAGGCCTGACTGGATGGGCGGTGATGGGCATCTCTACTTAACTGGGTAAGATTTGACATAAGAGGGCAGACGAGGGTGAGGGGCAGGAGGCTTGCTTAGTAGTAAGTGGTCCAGAAATTGTCTTTTGGATGTCTTCCTTACTCACAGTGTGGCATCACATGAATGAGTGATATTACGTGAATTACCATCAACCCAACATCCACCAGGTTTCCTACGCTGAAAGAGGAACATAGCAGACAAGGCAGAGCTTTCCACAGTGGAGAAGGAAGCTGGACAGTGTGTGGGCCGAACTTTGACCGTCAGCAGTCTGGGTTTAGAGGTTATCTTTGCAATGATTTATTTGTTGTTTAATATTAGGGAAATTTCTTGGCCTCTCTGAAGCTCTCTACTTCACCTACACAATGGGAATCCTGACAGCTCCATTTATGAAGAACTTGATGTATGTAAAGTACTTGGGGTGGTGTCTAGTGAGCTTCTATGTGCGTCTCAGCTCACACGGAGCTTCAACAAACTGCACTTTGCTGTTGAGGTCCTTGTGGGTCCCTCTTCGTCAGGAGTCTGAAAAAGCACGCTTGGTTCTTCTCTCAGCCGCGAGCTCCCGGAGACACAGCTCTGACTTGGTAGTCACTCCCTGCCCTGGTTCCTTCTTATTCTGCCCTGACATTAAAACCAACTCGCTTGCTGGAATTTGGGATATTGGTCACTTTTAGAGGGAGCCTTCTGCTTGGGAGACAGGACTGGCTACAGCCTGAATGTCTTTTGTCCTGGACGCCGTCCATGGTCTTGAGTTATTGCAGCAAGCTAAGGGAGCCAACTCACTCTGTAGATAGAAATCGAGGGGGCTTGCCAAGGTGAGTGGCGGATGCGTGCTTTCTCCCCTCCTGTGGCCATCAATCATTGGCAGGGACCAGATAGGGCAGCAAGAAGGAAACAGCAAATAAGCAGTTTGCATTAGTAAAGCCACGTGAAGCCCGTTGCCTATGGTAATTGAAAAATATCTAATCTCTGCTGCATCCCTGGAGCGTCTTCCCCATTGGATTCCTGTGGCGTCTCCATATCTTATCAACACGTCTGAGGAGGTGGCAGGAGGTGCCTGCTGGAGCTGCACCGTGAGGAGGGAAACGGGCTGCTCCAAGACTGATGCTCGGACATCCCGGTTGCCATGGCTCAGGGGAAGAGGCAGAGGAAGTGTGGGCTGGACCGGGTAGGGATGGGCTGGGGGTGGGTGGGCCAGTGCTGAGGGGTGCTATTGTGCCCACTTTGCAGACAGGGAACCAGGCTGACTACTGCAGTTTCTGAGTCCCCTTTCATTCCATCCTGTCCCCGGGCATTAGTCCACCAGTGACCTGACTCCCGGTCCGTCATTACTGTCTTTAAATGGATTCACTTTTTCAGAAAACTGAGCTTGTCGCAAGGGTCACCTCAGTGGCATTGTGGATTTGATGGGCAACTTGCCCTTTCTAATACATATTTCAATAAAATTATGGTCATAAACGTTTTGAAAGGTCTCCAATGTACCTTCTAAAATGATGTTGAATGCCAGGAGGCG